TTCCTCAACCCCAAACCCCCCCCCCACCCCCTCTCCCACAAGCTTCTACATTACTAAAGTCACTCAATAATAAAGGAAAAAGTCCGCAATGAGCAACCCATTAAGCAATTATTTCTTGGAAAGGTTTAAAGTGATCTAATGAACTCCTTAAATAGAAATTGATGAAAAGAGATTAATAGAATTAGGGTTTATGGAGAAAGTGAAGTAATTGGTATCTTTTTTCTTCCGAACACGCTACGGCATAGATACATAGAGAACGGGAATTGAACTTCTTCTTTTGCTAATCCTTAATTAATTCATTCATGGAACCTGCTAATGTATAGAGTATTGAATAATTAAGATAATTAAGATTTGATTAAAGGAAAACCGTAGTAAAATGGTCTATTGGTCTGGATACTGGCTGAGGCTGTGGCTGAGCTCTGTAGTTGGTTGCAGCGGAGGAGGTAGTGGTGGTGGCCGGCAAATTTCCGCATTTCTGACATCGGTTGACGGCCAAAATCTGGCGGCAAGAGGGGCAGGAGGAGTGGGAACCTAGCCAAGTGTCAACGCATTCGACATGGAAGCCATGGCCGCACTGTGGAAGCACGCGGACCTCTTCTCCGGCGGCGAACTCCGCCAGGCAAATGGCGCAGTCAGACAGCTTCTCGGCTTCCTCATCCTCACCGTAGATTAGCTTCGGTATGGACTTCAGGACCTTCTTTTTGAGTCCTTTGTTCGCAGGCGTGGATGGGGCTGGCAGGGCGGCGGCGGCTCTGCTGGTGATGCGGCGGATCCAGTCGCAGCGGACCACGATGGCAAGGCCAAGAACGCAGATGACTGCGCAGAGTAGAGCCGCAAGTATGATTATGTAATCTGAGTTGAGAGATTCGATTGGTGGAGGTGACTCCTTGGACGGCAGTGCTTGCGGCGACGGCGACCCGTTTACGCCGCCGAGGAAACGAGAACGGAGAGGCATTAAATGAAATTAAAGAGGATTTGTGTCGTTTCTACTATGTATGTATAAAGCTTGCAAGTTGCAAATGCGTGTTCCAGTTTTAATGATGCAAACGAGGAAAATGACAAATACAAGATCGATCATGACACTACACACCCACGTACTTCCAAAATTTACAAACTTATCCTTTTCAAGTTTTATTAAGCTCTTGTTTGAGTCCCATTTTTTTATCGAGATGCATTTTTCAGCAAAGGTTTAATCTCGTTTCAATCACACATTTTTCAATAAAATAATATTACACGTAAATTTATGACTTTTCTTTATTTTTTGACATATATTTCTCATCCATACACTACTCAAAAATGCATTTTTTGATAATAATGTGACTCAAACAAGGCCTAAGTCTAACTTATTATGACTTTTACTTTTTTTTTTTTCCTGCTTTTGCTTTTGAACTTTTTATTTCAAAAGTACTTTTAAATAAAGCATGTTTGACTAAGAGTACATTTGATTGTGAGAATAAAATTTACATAAAAAGAAAATATTTTCTAAGTGATTCAATTGTCTAGAAATTTTTTATATGGAATTCGTTAATTATTGGTGTTTGATTGAGTTAATTTTCTATATATAAAATATTGCCTTTTTTTTTTCATCTTTTAGTGTTAGATGGCCATTATTTTCCATGGAAATAATCATGTTTAAACCTCGGTTGTTTAATAGCCATTATTTTCTATGGAAATTATCCATTTTTCCAAGGAAATTGTCATTTTTTTCATAACAATTAGTCAAACAATTTTTTGATGAACTAAACAACTGTCCCTTCACAATTAAATAATATTGAGTAACATCTCCGATTATGTTTTTTTGAAGAAGTTATATTTTCACGATAATGTTATATAAAAATAATAAAATTTATAACAATAGCGAAAACAGCCTCACCGATTTAGATTTAAACTTGTATACAAGAATTAATTATTTTTCATTCCAATGAAAAATAATTATGAGATAATGAAATAAAACATTGAAGAGATTATGTCCGGCAAGGAACAAAAGAACGAAAGTAAAAATAAATAAATAAATAAACAAAAAAAATCTCTATTACAAGAAAGTAGCAATTTAATCCAACATAGATATCATACTTTTACATATGTTTGTTGAATTATCTAAGCACGCCATCTTAAAGTGGTGGAGGCGGATCATGACCAATATTTCCAAAAACCAAATCACACATGAATTCTTTATCAATCAAGCTCATAAATACTATAGTCAGGCTCTCATCTGTTTGAAATACTTTCATGACTTGCATTATGTCACGCTTCTCAATGTTCATGCTTTGTAATTTTTCTAAAAAACCAATTGCCAATTGATTTGGTTTAGCATATCAACATTGCTTGAATCTCCATAGCATTGGCAATTTTTTTAGATAATTTAGCAATGCTTGATAGGGCAATGAGACTCTCATCATTGGACTGGGTACGTCGTCGTCGAATTTTGTTGGTTCCTCCTTCGACCTTATGCTTAGGAGCGCAAACTGGACTTGGATCTATATCCTTGTTTTGACCATCAACTTCATTCATATTTTCATCTGAGAAAAAAAAAAGACTTTTTAGGATCTTTCATATAATATGAATTATGTAATTTATTATTATTATTATTATTATTTTATTTTATTTTTTTAATTTATGATCTTTTACTTACTAGCAATGAGGGATAAATTGTCATTGTTGGTTATAGCGCGATCTCCTATAGAAGATTAATAATCTTCCAACATCTTCATCCCCTACCATATTCAACCAAATGCAGTAAAAACGATGTTCTTCCATAAAATAACAAGAAAACAGACAGTTTTTGAGTAAATAAGCTAATGCATTTAAATCTGATGCCAATAACCATGTAAGCATACCAACTTAACTGATTTCATCCTAAGAAAGATAATAGGCAGCAATAATCACATTAAACTATTGTTGATAATGAGTGTAATTAGTTGTATTTCCATGATGAGGTTAGGGTAGGACTATCAAATAAAATCATTTAAAAACAATTGTTAGAGAGTGAAGCACTCGTTCTCAATTTAAAAAGGAGAAATACTAAAGACAGAGAAGCACGGATTAGACAATCTTGACACCAACTTCATCTAAAAAAGCTCATAATCCAAGCTGGTTAGTACGTATTTTGATGGTGAAGAAAGTAAATGGCAAGGTCCTCTCTCTCGTTCTTTGTCTCTAAAATATGAGGTTGTTGAGGGGGTTTTTGAACCTTGAAGATCTCATAAGTCCTCGGTGGGTAGCATTTGTCAATACAGTACCAATTTGTTGTGAATCATAGATATAAAATATAGATGAAAAACCAGCAAAGCAGTCTAATAAATTTATGTATGACATCATATTTTTACATACTTTCTGTAGAGAAGAAACAAGTAGAGCAATCTAATAAATACATTCACAATTTTTAGAATTCGAAACGGAATACATAAAATACATTCACATGGAAGATCATACATTCGCAATTTTTCTGAAAGTATTGTGAAATAAACCTTAATCGATGCAATCAACGGCCCGTTGTCGACCTTTTGTAGTGAATAGGGCAGATATGGAAGTAGTAATTCGTTCGAGTCCTTGATTTTCTTCTTTCTTCTTGGTTCGGTTGTGTGAGTATTTGGTTTCTTGTTCCTTTTATCAGGTTTCTTGTTTCATCTTTTTGGTTTTGGTTCGATTGTGTGTGATGAGAGAGGGTTTTGTATGTGGGGAAGAAGAGAGGGAGATTGGATACGTGAGTATGTGGAGAACTTGATAAAATAAAATTTTTGAAAAGTTTGAATTTTATGGAAAATAAAATCATATTCCACCCAAAGAAAATATTTTCCTTGTTTTCAAGGAAAATCCGATCACGTGACTAAGAGTGAAAACATTTTTCAAGAAAAAAATGTCAATCAAACAGCACAAAAATGAGAATTTAGGTGAAAAAAGATACTTTTCATGAAAAATATTAACAATCTAACACACCCTAACTTTCCCTAAATGCTATTCTAATCAGAATAAGTACTTTCATAAAATTAGTCAGACGAATCTTAAAATCTCTTTTTAACTTATCAAAATTAAGTCATCTCAAATGGGCTTATAATAGATGTTCCAAAAGGAAAAAAAAATAAAAAATAAAAAACTGATAAATCCATATTATTTAGGATCCGCTTAGCATGACTTCGACTTTTACTTTCACTTTTTGTAGAATAATTTCATAAGAAAAGAATTTCATACCAACTTTCTAAAGTTCTTCTAGTCAGATAAAGAACTTTCAGAAAATTATTCGTATATGTTTAAAAGTAATTTCTAATAAGCAACTTTATAGTTTCAAGTTTTCCAAATGGGCCCTTAACTTTTATTTATAACAAAATTGAAAATACAATTAATCGAGGAAAATATTCACTTACAACTACCTATTTTAAGCATATAATGCACTTAATTAATTTAGATGGCAATAATTCTTCAAAACAAATTTACCTTTGGCCCGTCACAATCAAATAACTGATGTCACGTAAACTTTTTTTTAAGAGTGACTTTTTCTAAAGCTTTTGAACTTCGATTGACTTTATATATATTCTACAGACATAAAAAAATTACTGTAAATAAATCTCTCATAATTGACCTACAGAAAAACCTATAAAAAAAAGAAATATTCAACCCCCAAACAAAAATAAAAAATAAAGTGACAAAAGATTAATTTTTTTTGTGATCTTAGCGTTGAAACTCATTACACCAACAACCAATCACTATATAAGAATTTAGTTACAAATTAATCTACTTTTTCTGAAAAAATGAGAAAATGGTGCAATTTATTCAAATACAATATATCCTAATTTTATTTACAAATTGCCTTTTTTTTTTTAATTGAAAAAGAAAAGGAGAAAGAAAACAGTTACATTGCTTCGCCATGGGTTGATTTCAACGCTCTTTTGAGGATACAATGGTGTCAATAAAGGTCAAGCACTCTTCTTTTCAATAATAATAATAATAATAATAATAATTATTATTATTATTATTATTATTATTATTATTATTATTTTGGATGCCCTAATGCTTTCCTCTAGAGATTTGAACATGAATGGACTCAAGGGCGGACCTACACGGGGTCATGTGGGGTCAAATGACCTCATAAAATTTTGCCCCCCCCTTTTTTTTTAACAATCTAGTTTGATGCACTCGTTAGGATGTCAAATGAAGTCAAAATATTGCATTCTTAATATCATTTCGAAGTGCTCATGGCCTAATTTTTCACTTATTAATAGCATGCGAAGTGGTCAACTATAGCAAAAGTTATGACATGTTAAAGTATGGTATTTGAAACTAGTATTTTGAGAATTTCGATAATATCCTAACTTTAAAAATTCGTTTGCGATCATGTGATATCTGAATCCACATATCGTCTATGCCATGTAAAAGTTTGTTTCGAAAACTACATCGTTTTCATATCGAATGGTCTAAACGGATATCGAAAATATATCAAACGTACGCCTAAAAAAAATGTCTAACTCGTTTTTTGTTTTAAAAAATTCAATTAATTATTATTATTGCACGATAAATTTTTCAATATAATTTATATCGTTTCATTCGAAAGTCTTACATGAAATATGACGTAAATATTTTAGGGTCGTTACAGATTAAATGTAATTTGAATTACTTTCGAATTATATTTGCTTTAAATTTGAATTTCATTTACTTCATGAACTAAACTTGAATTTTACTTCAATTCATTTAATTTTTATATTCAATTTAATTTACTTAATGTTAGCTCAACATTTGCCAATGAAATGATAAACAAAATTATACAAGTAGCAAAATTTATTTAATAATATTAATAATGATGTAATTATACGATGTTTTCAAAATATCAAAATATATATAAACTTATTTTCATTGATATTATGTTGTTTATTAAAAAAATTATTTTTAAAATTTTAACCCCACAATACTAAAGGTTTGGGTTCACCCCTGAATGGACTTTAACTGGAATTGAACGGTTGTGACATTCTCAAATAGTGTTTGGTGAGGAACAGTTGCCAAGGCAAGCCTAAAATCAGGGTGCCA